GAGGGAGGGGGGGGCCGCACCGATCGTCGCTAAATACAAGCGATCCGCCGGTATCGCATGTATATTAACGGGCATCGCTGCCCGTTTTTAAATTGCGGCCATTTCCCGCTCGCGCGCGCAAGGGGGCGTGTCTGAGCGGACGTCTAGAGACGCCCGCTCAGATCTAGAGAGCTCCTGGCCGGCCGTTTTTTTACTACGGCCGGCCCGGAGGCAGTTAAGCAAACCATGTGACCACACATCTCAGACCCTCTTTACCTTTCTTGACTTAACCACTTGCTTTGGGTGGCCGTACATATACGGACGGCCGCTGAAGTGGTTATACTGCTGCTGCAGCTGTGTTCTTGGTATCACTGGAAACAGCAGGCAATTGCTGTTCAGGTACAAGAGAGCTGGCATCTATATAGCCACTGGATCGCTTGTACCGATCGACAGAATGTGCCCCCCTCCCTTGCCTGGGACTGGCTGATCTCCCCACATCGATCGGAGAGAGATCAGCAGGCTTCCAGGTGCTGATCTCTCCTCCAATCACTGGACCCGGAAGTGATGTGTATTACACAGGGACGTGCGGTCAGGGGAGGCAGGTGAGGCAGAGCCTCAGCTAGAATTATGGAGGAAAAAGCGGTCAGCTTCATGTCTGAAGTTGACAGCTTTTTCTCCATCGGCATATAACAGGTTACACAGCAGGGAAATCCTCCCCGCTGTGTAACCTGTTACTGAGCCTCAGCGGTGAGGAGCAAGGTAGGGACAGGGAGATTCCTCCCTGCCTCCTCCCTTCCTCCTTTACACTAGGTTGGGGGGAGGCGGGGCTTCGTCCGACAGGAGGCAGAGCTTTGGTCGGCGGGTCTTTGGTGGGGGCGGGGCTGGGAAATGCCTCACCCCGAGCAAGAGGTACTGCACGTCACTGGTATTAAATCACTTCCTGTGTCCCCGTTTACATTCTCTGGCTCTTAAAGCCAGGAGAAGAAGCTGGTGAAGAAGATCTCTGCTTCATCAGCTTCTTTGGGGTCCCTCGGTGATATTAGGGTTCTGAAAGGCCCCTGATGTCTCCATAAAGAGGATCTGTCACACCCTATTTGCTATTGCATAGGGGGCTTGTTAGCCCCCTATGTGATAGCGATAAAGTTGGTGTTAAAAAATTATAATTTTTAAGTAACATAAACAAAATGTAAAAAAATGCAAAAAAAGTCCCCCACGAGCATGCACATACATACTCAAACACGCGTTGATGCGCTTACATGCAAAAACGAAACATGTTACATATCGCCACGTCAGAGTGAGAGCAATAATTCTAGGGTATCAATCAATGTTAATACTAAACTGATGAGCAGTAAACGCTTTTAAAATGTCCCCTATAGGACATTTTGGATATTGTAGTTTTTTGCAGCTTCACGGGCGAACACAATTTTTAGGATTGACATGTTTGGTATCTATTTACCCGGCGTGACCCTATCTGTTATATTTGACCAAAATATTATATTCGGTCTCTGTGCATTACATTTTAGTGTATTTTATTCTAAAAATACAGGTTTGATAAACATTTGCGTAAACTAGCATTTTTTTATTCTACAGGGCCTCTGTTTTCAGAAAATGTATCATTGTTTGGGGGCTTGACGCTGTTTTCTAGCCAAAAATTCAGATTTGATCATGTGTGTGCAAATAGTAAGAAATTGCTCCGGACAGCAAGTGGTTAAAGGAGTTACATTTTAATAATCCCTTCAGAACACTCCATGTCCCCAATCTAATAAGCATATTAGCATACCCACAACTGGTACACAATCCATTCAAACTCCAGATACAGATTTTGATGCATGTGATAAGGCGATGATGGGAACCTTCCTTAACCGCTTGAAGTCCGGGGTGTTAGACCCCCTTCCTGGCCAGGCCATTTTTTAGTATTCAGCGCTGCGGTACTTTGACTGACATTTATTCCGTCATGCAACGCTGTACTAAAATGAATTTTATACAATTTTTTGGGGACAGATAGAGCTTTCTTTTGCTGGTATTTTACTTTTTACTATATTAAGGAAAAATTACTGAAAATTATGGGGGGAAAAAGTTTTTTTTACATGTTAGGAAACAATTATTCCCCAATTTTAGTAAAATATAAAAGACGGAGTCACGTCTGGTAAATAGACACCAAACATGTCAAGCTTTAAAATTGCGCTCACCTGCAAAAAACTACCATACCCAAAATTGACCATAGGCGACGCTTTAAAAGCTTTTACCACTCATTAGTTTAGTGTCATCAGTGATTGATGGCCCTAAAATTATTTTTCATGTGTGACTTTCATTTTTTTTTTCATCTTTAATCTTTTCTTCCTATTTTTTTCCCACTTAACGTTATTGTTATCACATGGGGGGGCTAAGAAACCCTCTATGTGATATCAAAGAGATGCGACAGGTCCTCTTTATGGAGACATCAGGGGTCTCCAAGACCCCTAATGTCACCCAGGGACCCCCAAAGAAGCTGATGAAGCAGATCTGATTCTGATTCATCAGCTTCTTTCCAGCTTTTGAAGCTGGAGAGTGACAAAAGAATGCGGAAGTGATGTAATATACATCACTTCCGCATTCTGACACCAGAGAGGGGACCGGAGGGAGATTGTGTACCGATCTCCCTCTGATCCTGTCACAGAGCCACCATGCTGGTCCTGGGCTCGCACCGGGCACAGCGGGAGGGGGGCCCACCAATCGGCACCTTATACAAGCAGTCCGCCGGCTTTATAGACAGCAGATCGCTTGTATGTAGACAGGCATCGCTGCCCGTTTTTAAATATGGGCAGTTTCCCGCGCGGCGGGCGGGGCCAACAGGACGTCTTTTGACGGCCTGTTACATCCAGGAAGCTCCCGGACGGCCGTTTAATGACAACGGACGGCCGCTTAATGACAACGGCCGGCCGGGGAGGCCGTTAAATTGTATGTCCAGGCAAAATTAGAATAAAAATATGCTGTACATCTCTGCAATACCTCCACATTTCTCTATACATCTTTAAAGAAATATAACTACTTATCTGCTAGAAATGCAGCTCCCAAGTCATGTTGTGAACGGACAACACGCAGCATTTTGTGGACTGAGTGGTGTCAGTCCTGCCCAACTTCCTTTTGCTAAACTACTCAGAAACAACTCCTTGAGGTAACAAAGGAAATGTGCACAAGATACAGGAAAGCTCTGAATTTCTTACATGATCAACATCTTTCTTTTACACTTATGGAACAGATATAACAAAATCCTTTGAATGGTGTACTTAATAGACAAAAAGGCAACAAATAAGAAGAGCAGTTCATTGTTAGGGTTTACATACACCAATATAGCAGTCTCTTAGCAGCATGCTTTAAGAAGTCGCTGTTATTCTGTATGGCAAGTTCTCATCATTACCCTGAAGAATTAACCAGGCTTTTTGAGTGGATTGGAGTGCAGGACTTGGCAAATTTTGAGCAGGCTGCTCAGCCCAAACAGGCAGTAGATAGCAGTGGAAGTATGAGGTGTGTGTCATAAGCTTTATTGCTGCTCAAGCCAGAGAAAGACATTTCTGAGCAGATAACATTTCTAACAATGCAGAAGCAGCATGGCAATGGGGTCAGAGCACATGACAAGAAAATGAGAAAGTTTAGGAGAATTCTTACCCGTGTATTGTCTTCAATCTCCATTGTGCCCTGAAGTTTCCCATTTACACTGAATACACAGAAAAGACCTCGTTCATAGTATACAATACAATGGCCTTCTCTTGAGGCCTGTATAATTTTTGGTCGGATGCAGTTCTCTGGAGCCTTTAGCGTTCTCAGAAGGTCTCCATTCATAGAATGTATCAGACATGGACCTTCTGAAACACGTAAGATAAAAGAAGAATCAGTACAATGGCATATTAATTCTATATACATTTTAACTGGAACATACATTTAGCAGCTTCATTACCTTTGGAGCCACTTATCACTAAGCCAAGCTCTGCACAAACTGTAGCACAAGTAATTTCACAGTCATGGCCAGTCAGGATTGCTCGAGGAGTAGCAAACTCATCTGTAAAAATAAAGGCAGAGGAATTAAGACATTAATGCATTAAAGCTGACTGCCTGCAACCAACACATGTTACAATGAGTGTTCTCTTTGGCAGTATTCCTTAAACTTTAATTTCAAAAATCCAGGTTAAAAAGAGTGACAATTGTAAGAGGTTAATTTCACTAGAAACAGACAAATAACCCTCTAAACTGAGATAATGTGGGACCTAAATGCCCACCATTCCACCTGCATATACTTACCTTCACTTGCTCCCCTTTGCTCAGTTCAGCATCCTGGACCGTAGAGCAATAAGCTACGAGTATAAAGGGGCATATGACACTCTCCCATTCCTCCAACAATGTAGTGCTTGGTACCTTAGAGGCACCATAGATGTCACGGGAGGGAAGGGTCCTTAGTGATGTGCAACTTGATGCCTAGGTTGGGGTTTCTCTCCACTCCTGCAGGTGAACAGAACACTAGAGGAGCATAGGAAGGGTAAGTATAAGCAGGGGACCACATTTTATCAGGCTTATCTCCCTTTATTTTTACCTAGTGATTCTGCAAATAGTACAATTCCAGACCCTCAGTCGTTATATTACTCACTCCACTGTATCTATAAAGGGAGCTATGGTTTCTGGTCCAGGCAACTCTGGACTAAAAACATGTCCTCATCTCCATTACATGGGGGTTTGGGCAATTTGTAGTTTACAGTAGAAAACTCTGAAAGAAGATAAGCTTCATTTCAGCTCATATGCCATTACAAGAGTACTGTTCTGTATTTGCTGAATATGTTCTCCTCGAAAGAAAAACAAATGCGGTCATCACATCTAAGGACTACTTAGCCACAATAAATTGAATTCTTGTTCTTGGTTTAGATACCCTTTAAAGGGAATCTACAGCAGATACGGCTAGCAACATCTACAAAAATAGGACATGCTGACAACACAACCGACTGATTAACATAGAAAGTGAGCAAAAGAATTGTTCTATATTAAGTAAGCAACAGGCACAAACTAAATTTAAGATATACCAGGGGCAGACTGACCATTCGTGCAGTCGGGCACGGACCGAGGGCCCGCGGCCATCAGGGGGCCACTCACCAACCATCCCCTCGCCGCCATCTCCTCCCCGCCTCATGCTCGCCGTTGCCAGACCTGCCCACCCGCATCCACACGCCGCACCTTCTCTCCGCCTCACGCTCGCCGCTGCCAGACCGCCTGCATCCACACGCCGCACCTCCTCCCCGCCTCATGCTCACTGCCCGCCCACATCCACGATCGGCGCGGGGAGAAGAAGAAGGAGCAGGCTTGGGGGGATGACAGCTGCCGACAGACCCGATCTCAGAAGCAAGTTGCTGGAAGACTGCTCAGGTAAGCCTGCACTTCCCCCCCCACATGGTGCTCTTTAATGTATTGCTGGGATAGTGGGATTTGTCATCCTCTATAGCTGATGGTACATTGTGCTGTATATTATACACAGCAATGCACCATCAGCTATAGAGGATGACAAATCCTAGCAATACATTATACACTGGGGGGAATTTATCAAAACTGGAGCAGACAAAATCTGGAGCTTCTCTCTTTAGTTTGTTCAGTTAAGGTTTGAAAATGACAGAGAGAAGCTGATTGGTTGCCATGCACAGCTGCTCCAGATTTTGTCTGCTCCAGTTTTGATAAATTCCCCTCAATGTATGCATAATGTATTGCTATATAACTGGAGGTATTCTGCATTGTGGTATAATGTATTGCTGGGATTTATAGTCCTCTATAGCTGGTGGTATTATTCTACATTGTTGTTGTGCTGAGATTTGTTGTCCCTCTACAGCTTGGAGTTAGTGGCAGAACTACCAGGGTCGTAGCAGTTGTACACACGCACAGCACTGACGAGGCATCCCTACACTACCAGTGTGCTTTAATTTTCCTCAACCGATAAATTTCTCTACCACGTCTATTCCAGGTGCGCATGTCATAAGGAAAGGGGGGTCATGAAAACAGCTGATTCGGACGATTCGGCCCCACTGGAAGTGATACAGTCGAGAAAATTTATAGGATCGAGAAAAATTATAGAACACTGACTTTGACACTGTCCGGCCCCTCCCATTAACCTCCCACACTACCGTTACATGGATGGCAAAAGTGGCAGGCAGGGGCGGGGGAAGAGGCAGAGCGGGAGGGGATCCAAGTTGCTTCACCATGGGCTTCTGGGTTGTACTTGCCCCTTTGCTAAAAGTTGCCAGTAAGCCCATGCTGTATTCCTCACCTACCGGGCACCAATAGCTGATTTAATTGTGGATGGCATCGGTGCCCGGCGGTTGCGGTATTCAGGATTGTGATCGACGTTGGACTACATGTCACAACCGCGGGGCGCAGATGCCATCCGCAATTAAATCAGCTCTCTGCTCCCAGCGGTTGCAACATGCAATGAAAATTATTAGTGCCCCCCCAGATTTGACTGTAGTATCTTATGTGCTCCCCATATATTGTTCCTAGAGTCTCCACTAAAGGAAAGACAGCTGTGTGCGCCATCTCTTTGCTGTTTTCGGCTGAGCCGCAGCCAAACTAGTAGATGCGGCTGTGTTAAAGTGGCAGGGGCAGTGTCCCCCGCATCCCGGGACCAACAGACACTACTGTCGCCGCTTTAACATAGCTGCAACCACCTGCTAAAGGAGAGCACGTGTGCTGGCATGGAAGGAGCTGCACATTAACGCGTGTGTGTGGATGACATCCCACAGGGATCACTGTGTGTGATGGCTGATCCCAGAGATGTCGCTGTGTATGTGTCATTCTAACTGCCCAATCTGCCGTGTATTGGTTCCGGCCCGAGTTCTGCCATGTATTGGTTCTGGTCTGAGGTCTGCCATGCATTCTGCCATTTAGCGCCCTTTCAAATTGCCTATATTGGTCTAGATTTTGAAATTCTCCCACCAGTTACCCGGCAATTCATCTCTTAGTGAATTGGCAGACTATTTGAAAAATAATGTGGAGAAAAAATTTCTGTGACACGAGAATGTCTATGCAGGTGGGGCGTGAGGGAGGGACTTGTATATGGGCGGAGCACAAGGGGGCCCCATAATCTTGTATTGCCCTGGGGCCCCATGTGTTGTCAGTCCGCCCCTGAGATGTACTATATATTTTCTTTGAAACTGTTGCATATTATGTACTGGTAAAATCGAATGCTCTCATTCTATGGTTTTTTAACTTAAAGGTAATCTATCAATCAAAATAGTTTTCTAGAGGAAGATGCCATTGTTTGACAAAGAAGCTGTATGCTGACTCCACGCAAGTTGCACCTGTTCAGCATCACTTTGAAGGAGCTGACAGCCTTGGAACTTGTATACAGAATGTTAGTCAGACAATGGCAGCTCCTATTATTCATATATTTAGCTAAATGACAGATTACCTTTTCTAAATGAAGAAAAGATTTAGGACAGGTTCACTTTATGATAGACACAACTAGGACAGCAGACTTGTTTTGTTTTTTTTACATAATGCCAACAGTACCCACTTGTAAAAAAAGGGCGAAAACTAAAGAGGGCTATACATAGGAGGAGACCCCACTTGATGGCATTTAAGAAAATAGGGGTGTAAAAAGTCATCTGAGAGATTGGAAATGTTAATTATGCTTGCATACGATCCCTGCTGATAAATCAGAAATTAATAAAAAGAAGTAAAACCAACCCTTTTTTCGACTATACTTCTCTTTGGGTCACGGGTAATTTACGAATGTAGTCCGGTGACAAAGTCAGCAGACAGCAGCCTAATGCCCACTATCTGCTGACAGAGCATCTTGGCTGCCTATGTGACAGCTGGCTCTGCCTCTCTAAAACCAGAATCAGCTGTGCCCGTCCCCTCCCCCGTCTGTGTCTTCAATGAGCGCTTGAGAAAAAGAGAGGGAAGAGGGGAATCCTTGCGGGGAGTTGTGATTGACAGTTACTGTTCTCTGTAGGTAGAAGGCCATAACCCGAGTGAACAGCAGTTACACAATCGCTCAGCTCTCTGTAAAGAGCCGTATTTTACTCTCCCCGCACTTCTTTAATAGAAATAAGCCACAAGTGTTAGAGCACGGTAAGCATTAATGCGGAACACATGACTAAAACACATGTACCAGGAAGATTTGCCTGCAGTGAATGTTTTGGTGATTAAGAGTTAACTGCTCATTTGTGTCTAGGTTACAAAAAAAGACACTCTGGATGCTCTGAGTTGGCTTCTTCTTAGACTGGTCCCTAGTACGTCTCTCCTCCTCCTCTGCAGTGGTCTAAAAAAAACATCAGTAAAACATCATGTCCATACACCGTCTATACACTATGCATAGAAGCGAGGACGCTGAGGAACATTCCATTGTGCTGCAGCGAGGGGGACAGGCTGGAGGGACCGCCATGATAACTGGCTGGCTCTGAGCTTTGGGTGAGTACATCTTTGTTATATTAACACCTAGAAACAAAGAAGCACCTAAACATTGCAGTGATGGGGTAGCTCCACTGCAAGGGGTAATAAAAAAAAAATCCTGGAGTTCTTCTTTAACAAAGTAGATGGCAACCTTGCCTTGGACCACGGGTACCTGGGTCTGTTATTGCCATAAGTACTATACTACCACAACCCAAAAACAAGGTTGATTGGCTTCTGAACAAATTTGCCTTCAGGCATGTATGTGTGTGCTCTTGTACACATAGTTATCAACATGGACAATGAGAGTAGCATTCAAACTATAAATGATATAATTTGTTCTGTGTGCTCTGTAATAAGCTGAATAATAAGTTTGACCTAAACAAATGTATGAAATACTGTTTAAGGATTTATCTAACAGACAATAATGAATTAAGTATGGTGTACTTCACTAAGCAAAATCATTACGTCTTCCCTAAAATCTTTCTTTGTAAGTGACCTACAAGGATTGGACTGAAACAGCCAAGCCATATATAAGGTTATATTCTTTCTTTCTCTGCTAATAACCTGAAATTTACTATCGCAGAAACTCCAAACTACAGATTATGTTTATGGCTGATTTTGTGTATATTGT